TTTTTTCATGGGCCTACACATTCTGACGTTAAATGTGCAGGGTTTTCGGAATCCGAACAAGCAGCGCGAGGTGATACACTTTGCCCAGTCTAATCACTGCGATCTGCTCTTTTTGCAAGAAACTAATTTTTTTTCTGCCCGGGATGTGGCAGAATTTAAGGCCCGTTTTTCGATTCCTTGTTATTTTTCTCTCGCACCTTCTTGCGCGCGTGGTGTTGGCGTTTTAATATTCCGCACTTCGTTTTTGCGAGGTGCTTTTTCACTGTGCGACCCGGACGGTCGCATCCTTGTGTACAGTTTTTTTATCGGTCATGCCAAGTTTCGGGCTATAAGCGTTTACGCTCCAGTTCGTGGCGGCCACACGCCGGCGAGGGATTTTTTTAGAAGCCTTCTGCAGTATGTGCCTGAGGACGGTTTTTTCTTCCTCTGCGGGGACTTCAACTGTGTAATAGACTCCTCTCGAGACGTTCGCGGGCCTGGCCGCGGGCGGAATACCTCTGACGCTCAGGAGCTGGTTCGGCTTCTCGGGCTGCACGACCTGCGCGATGCCTGGGTCGAACTACACGGCGCTGCGTACGACTCCACGTGGTCGCGGGGCACGTCGTCGAGCCGGCTGGACCGCGTCTATGTCCAGAAACATCTTGCATCGCGTCTCCTCAGCTGCGAGGTGCTTTCCTTTCCATCAGCTGCAGGCTATGTTTCAGATCATCGCCCGGTTTCAGCGGTTTTTGATGTGACGGGTTTTTTGTACCCACGCGGCGACACATGGCGCCTAGATATCTCGCTACTGCGGGACGAACCGTCCATCTCTAGCTTACGACAATCGATTCGGGCGTCACTGACGGCCGTTGCCTTGTCCCCCGCCCAGTGGGACGCGCTGAAGTCTGACTGCCGGTTTTTCGCGACGGCAGCTGGGAAGTCGCTTCGGCGCCGCACGACGGAGGCCCTCAATGAGGTTGTCCGTCGCATTCGCATTGTGCAGCGTGGTGTTGTGCGCACCTCCTTGATGTTTGAGTACCTCACGGTTCTTCGCGATCGCCATCAACGTCTGTTGAGCATGTCCTCTCGAAGTGCTGTGGCGCAGCGGCTGCGTGACCAGCCGGTGGAAGACCCGGAGGTGCTCCGGTGCCTCCGTGCCACACGCGCCGGTGGGGACGGGTACTCGTACGTTCCCAGTGTACATCTCGCGGACGGTAGCCTTTCGGAGGACCCCCGTGAAATTGGCGCGGTTTTCCGAAATTTCTTTTCGTCCCTATTTTGCTCGAACCCCGCCGTAAACATCTCGAATTTCGCCGAGCGGGTTCGCCTTTTTTGCGGAGATCTCCCGGCCTGCCCTGATGATCTCGGCTCCTCTCTGTTCCGGCCTACAACACGCGAGGAACTCTTTGACGTCCTCCGGGCTATGAAAGTCGGGTCTGCCCCAGGCCCCGACGGCTTACCAGCCGAATTTTATGTCACTTTTTGGGATGTCCTCGCGAATCCCCTAGTCCAGCTTGTGAACGGCTTTCTGGAGACAGGCGAAGTTCCACCATCCTTCAGAAGAGGTCGCGTCATCCTCCTCCCAAAGGAGGGTGGCTCTTCATCGGATCCTGCGGCTTGGCGACCTATCACTTTGTTAAACGCAGACTATAAGATGGTAGCTTCTCTACTCGTCTCGCGCCTCCGTACGGTCATGCCCCATGTGGTGAGCCCAGTTCAAACGTGTTCGGTGCCTGGGAGAAACATTTTTTCGTCCCTGTCACTCACACGAGACCTCTTTTCGTACGCGAATTTTACCCATCTGTCGGGGGCCTGTGTCTCCCTCGATCAAGCGAAAGCGTTTGATAGGGTTGAGCATAGTTATCTGTTCGAGGTCCTGAGAGCCTTTCGCTTCCCCGAGACTTTCATTTCGTTACTTCAGTCCCTATACAGCGGACTGACTGGCCATTTGCAAGTCAACGGGTGTCTTCTTCCGCCTTTTCCAGTAAGTAGGGGAGTACGACAGGGCTGCCCGTTGTCTCCCTTACTCTACGTTCTTAGTCTTGATCCTCTTCTCCGACGTCTTGCATCCTGCTCCCGGATTTGTGGCTTTCCGCTGCCCGGCCGGGACTCAGTCGTGGTTAGCGCCTACGCAGACGACGTCAGTTTGTTTGTCCGCAACTCTGACAGTTTTGAGGCTGCTGGACAGCTATTCTTAGAGTATGGCGCACTCTCTGGGGCTTGTTTAAACACTACCAAGAGCCAGGCTTTGGAGTTTGGAGGCTCCCCTCCCGCTCTACCTGCGGATATCCAGATTGTGAACGAGCTCCGAGTTCTCGGCGTGTTTTTTGACTCTCGTGGAGTGGCACCCCGCACGTGGGAGGTTGTAGCATCCGCCGTTGAGCGTCAGGTGGCTGTTGCAGGGACCTTTACGCTCTCCCTCCGCGACAGAGCTTACCTAGTAAGAGCTGTTTTTTGTGGGCAACTTTTCTATGTTGCCCACATTGCACTTCCCCCTTCTCGATTCGCTAGCCGCATCACCTCATGTCTCTTCCGGTTTTACTGGAGCAGGGGCACTGAGCTAGTGACAAGGTCGGTGCTCCGCCTTCCCACGTCACTGGGCGGAAGGGGCATGCCCTGCGTCAGCACGGTGTGCCGCCTGCTCTCCCTCCGCACTGTTCTAGGGGTGTTAGATGACACGGATCACCCGGCACGGTCCCTGGCTCTTTATTTTCTAGGGCCCTCGCGCCGAGTGCTTGTTCCTCGCGCGTTGGGCAACCTTTACCCGAGCGCAGAAGCAACGCCACCGTTTTACCAAGCGGTGGTGGCTTGCCAAGAAGAGTTGAGGCGGGCGTTACCAGACCTCGAAGTGCGCGAAGTGCCACCGGCTCGCGTCGTCGAAGAGCTCTGCGTGACCCGTATCACTCGTGAGCAGAGGGATCGAGCGAACGCCTTTCCGTGGACCTGGTTGGTTTCTCGCCGCCTTCCCGGACCTGTGGAGGATTTTGAGTGGCGTCGGGGCTGGGGTGTCCTTCCAACAAGACAACGACTCCACCGCTGGGGCATTGTTCCCGACCCTAAGTGCCCCAACTGTGGACAGGTAGAAACAAACTCCCATGTTTTCTTTGATTGTCCCGTTGCGCGCTCATTTTGGCGTTTGGTGCACCATGGCTTCCGGGGTATCGGCATCTGGAACTTTGTGTCAGGCGGTGGTGCCCCCGCGGGGGCTTCGCCCTGCTCCTGTTGGCAGTCGGCCAACTGGTCCTCTGGCAGAATCGTTGTGCGGCGGTTGGCCAGCAACGACGATTTCGTGCAATGTGGCCAGTCCTCTCTCGACAGCGGGGTACCCTGCTCCGTCACCTAGACTCCGAGCTCTTTTGGTTGGGCGAGGAAGAGTTCCTCAGGCGGTGGTCTTGCCGCTACGTCCGGCTGGTCGGTGGTCACATCCACTTGCTTTTCGCGCCTCTCGCGCAGGTGTGAGAGGCGTGGGGTGGGGTGAAAGGGGGGGGGGATGTGACGTTAGCCAGCCGAACGCTACGCCTGGCTTACACTGACATTTCTTAGGTAAAGGAGAGAACCCTCCTCGTGTGTGCTGATGAGATGTAAACAGCGGCCATATTTGGTTCGCTAAGTTATGTTTTTTCGTTACCTCCGTCCCTGGATCTTTGTAGCGTACATGTTCCTATTGTATACCGGTGTGATTTACGTCTTGCAGTTTACAGTGTCAATAAACTTTTCTTTAAACCCTGTAACCTCTACCGCTGTATCTGTTCTGAAAGCCAAAATGGATGTCACGTGCAGTTCCTCGAGTGGCCGCTGCGGGAGAAATGGTGGCGATGTGTTCGTCATTAGCTCGGTGCTCGGAGACAGATTGAGGCCACTTTTTCAAAGCCGCCTCTATGGGAGTTTCCCAACTGAGTGTTTAAGTAACGTTGCCCTGTCCAAAAGTGCGCGCCGTCTAGTAATGGCTGCTCCATTTATCCTATTCGGCAATTGTTTTAGGCTTGTGTTCGGAGCGCACATTGGAGGTTGGACAAATGTTCGGCGTAAAGTGGGCCTCACTCGTATCGAAAACAAGTGGAGGGACACAGGGAGTTATTATAATTTACGCTAGAGGTTCGACTGGCGCTAGTGTTTAGGCGACTCCTGGGAGGCAAATTGAAGCAGACAGCATCCAGTCTGTCTACTTTTTTACTGCTCCTGAGCGTTTCGATCGGAAAACGCGCGTGCCTTCGGTTCCTTCGAAAGGAAATAACATGGAACACTTTTTTTTTCGGGTAGCAACAAAGAGAACGTACATTTATTAACAGTGTAAAGGTGTAACCGCTTTAGTCGGCGCGTGCTCCTTCATAAGTGAACGACGTTTAACCTCGCTATATTTCAGGCCAAACTTGTGTTCTACAGCAGGTGTGTAAAAACAAGCGACGATTATAAGCAAAAGAACAATCGAAAGGAATGTAGATTGTGTTCAAGATTTGCCGGCATTCCGGTGACTCTTATATATTCTTGTGAACTTGCTTGCGAAATCAGGACCGTGCGAGTGGGAGAAAACAACTAGAATATTACGCGGGACAGTGTTTTAAAGGAAACAGTATAAAAATGTGTTCTTAATAGAGAAAACATTTGCGATTGTCTTTTGTGGCTTTTTTTGTCAATAAGGTTTCTCCGCTCAGACTTGTGTACCCTCTTCACTTTCGTGAGGAGGCGGCATGTTTGGCATGCTTAAAAGAATGGGTAAGAAAGGCTGCCATGTACTTTACAACTCAACGAAAAACCCCTGGAAAGGGGTTTTTCGTTGAGTTGTAAAGTACATGTGTGCGCTTTCAAGGGGAACTGAATGGTAGTAGAGCTTCTTTTTTTCTCACTTTGCCCCCCCCCCTCTTTCTCCCCTTCCCTTTCCCTCCCCTACGCTTGACCTTAATATCCCGTTCTCAAATATGAGCGGTATGATCACCCTATGCCTGCTAAAGTTTTTAAAAGTGTATATTGTACATCGTCAGTTCAAATATTGAAGTATGACGACGTTCTGTTCTTCATTTCAGACTGCACAACCTCGTTTGGCCGTCTGGCTGCTCCAGTTCTTTGGTTGAGCAGGATCTTTGGGAGCTTCTCATTTCACACTTTCAGCGAACATACGGCGAATGTGATTGAGATGCGTAAAAAAAATCCAGAGGTGGGTTCGGCTATTCTTTAGCATTACACGTTGATTACTAATTGTGAGAAGATAGTACATCTTACACGAAAATGCTAAAAAATCTCACGAAAACCTCAGTGGCTTCCAAGCCCGATTTCGTATCTGATTTTTCCTATAACTTTAAACTAATTTTGTTTTAGAGCGCAGCTCTTAGGCGCCCGTTTCCGGCTTGAGTGGCGTCGCCGCGAGGTGCATTATGTGACGCGTGACGTCACTGATGACGTCATCAGTGATGATGACGATGTTGATGGCGTCACCAGTGATGATGACGTCATCAGTGACGATGACGATGAGGATGACGCCGTCAGTGACGATGACGTCATCAGTGATGATGATGTCATCAGTGACGATGACGTCATCAGTGATAATGACGTCATCGTCACGTGACCTCACATGGGTCACGCGACCCCCGTGAGGTCACGTGACCCTCGTGAGGCGAAGCCGCTCGGAGGAAGGAGTAGCAGACAGGGTGAGGAGGTGATGAGGAGGGAGGAGGAGGCAGGACGGGTATACCCTCCCTTAGTACCCTTCCCTCCTCCTCCTCAAGAGCTGCACTCCAATTCGCCGTTACAGGGAGCTGTAAACGGCTTTCATTTTTTAGTAAATTCACGTTAACAACACAAAATAACAATTGTTAATTTAAACTGTTGAACCTATGACACGTTATAAGGTTGTTATGTAGGAAACGACTAAATTCAGCAAGCGACTGAAACGAGAAAAGCGACATGAGAGCAGCGTCATCAGAACGACGTTGTCAGTGACACGTGTAAACAAGATATGTCGTGAACGTGCCTGTCATGTCATTTGGTCACGTGACCACCGTCCAGTAAACCTGGCTGGTGTTGTCTCGCCCTCCTAATTCAGAGAGTTTAGCTGACTCGGTAGATCTCGAGCGTTAGTGGCCGCTGCGATAAGGATACCGATGCAGCAGGGCTTCCATTACCTGGCGTAAGCGATCATTTGACCATAGCGACAAGAAATGGCGTCCAATCGTCGAGTTGCAGTTTGAGACCTGGTACACAAATGACCAAACGAAAATTTAGACAGTTCACAATGTCTGTATGATGATCTTATCAAGTATGACCGAAGTACTAGGTGAAAGGTTCTTTTAACACGGGGTTTGATTATATGTTGCGATGTCAGGTCTGCAGTTTTCGTGAATCCAAGAACGAGCCCCACTTGTCAGTTGAGGTAGTTGTTTTAACCAAATTGGCAATGTCACGTCATGGCTTCAATTTGGTGAAGCCTTTCTCCAATATTTTAGTCTAATTATATGTCTGCCTAATAAGGCAAAAGAGCAGCGGTGTCTAAACGCAAGCTCTCAATTCAGAGAATGCCATGCGTCCTGTAGTTCAGACACGGTTAGTTAAAATACGATTGCTAGTTAACTCGCTTATAAACATAAGAGTACCAACTCCTTCAAGCATCACAAACCATCGCTTTAGCAATAAAATAATAAGCGCGTCATGCTGTGCGATTTAGTAAATCTGGTCATCTGGCGAATACCAACATTTTCTTCATGTCGTTTTTCTGCAGCTCTGTTCATGTTCTTTTTCTGTTTTTGTAAAGGTGGGAAAGGGAGGCACTGAAACAAGAGTTTAGTATGTCTGCATATTCTTAGGGCTAGAGTCAATAAATAAGCTAGGGCGAAACCGAAGATTAAAGCAAATTGAAAATATGTGATTTTACTTGACCTCTTTCGAGGCCTCGTCTGGCATCATTGGCGGCAACCATTTCTTGAGGCTCAAGGCGTGAGTGCAAATCCGAGCCCCTTTCGAACGCTGACGCGGTCTTCGTGTTCCGATTCGTGCTCAGAGTGCTTGCAAAAACTACGGCAGACTCGGATAATAGACTACTTCCATAAACCCGTCACCGCGCTTTGCATTCTGGGAACCTGTGGGCCAAGAGCGGATTGCGTATGTATTTTGCTGCCCACTGTTTCCCACAATGCATAACGTGGTATTACGGCGCAACGAGGCGCTTCGAGTTTTGAAGTAAGTTAATTGGCGCAGCGGCTACTGGATAACGCGCCCTTTAAAAAATAGGAACGAGTTGTACAGTGTGGTTTACTTCTTGAATTATCTTCATTAGCTAGGAAGAAACGACATGCTCCAGAATCTCATCGACGCGGAGTATGAGGATCTGACATCTACCCAGATGTCCTCGGGTGATGCAACAAATGCAGGTGTAAAAGGTACGCAATGGACGGGCGCGTGTAAGCGAGTGGCGTTTTTGTAAAAAAAAATACTACGATCTTTTTTTTAGTTACGTCTATTTCGAAATGTCACTCTGTCGCAAAAGTGTTTTGTGTTGTTTTTAATCTTTAGTTATTTAAATCTTAAGAAACGCAGGATGTGGCTTATTATATTGACACTTCTTGTTTTGTTTCTGTTTCTTCGATGTTCTTAAGGGCAGACGTCGCAATGTCATTGGCTCCATAGCGATAATAAGATGATAGGAACTCGCCACGCAGTGCGCTTGTTAAGGTGTCGCTTTCTATACCCTTACATTTCGAATTATTTTCCATCGTATTTGATCTCTTTAGGTCTACATCCGAGGCAAGTCTGAGGTTCCGACGCTGCGTATTTTTGTTTCACGGAAAACAAATTGCCTAGCAATGATGTATGCATGTTTTTAGTTTTTATTTCAGTCGAAAGAGGCAAAGAAAAAAACTTGCCTTCTGACGGCACTCCAGCCCCTAGTTTTTACAGCACTCAGCAGAAAACACAGCAAACACTCAAATGAATTCTATTGCCACTGGCATATATACAAGATATAAATGAATGCAACTCAAAAGCCGAGATACGTGCTGGAGATCACGATAGATTAAAGCTATGTTACAAGGTTATCTTTGAATGCCCGAAAGGAACCGTTGTTTTGCACCATTTGAGCTATGTTAGGGTGCGTATTCAATGTGTCTGGAATGATACATAAAAATTGCTGGAAGCTATATTTTGCATGAACTTTGCATTTTACGCAAGACTACATCGTAAACTGTAGTTTCCTGGGGTTTTTTGATACGTGTTACAAAAAGTGACCGATTCTGTCTGATCCTGGTAAAAATAATGATTGAAAATTTTAGGGTCAAGATGTTCTCTACAGTCAATGCTTTATAGTCCCGAAAAAGTGGCATTGAGTGATCATATTTCGGAAGGTTTGCAACGAATCGGACGGCTTTTTTTTCTGCAGTATAATTAACTTGCTTATGTTTGTTTTTGTAGTTGTACCACATACTATTATACAATATTAAAATCGTGAATAAATAAGTGCATAGTACAGTTATAACTTTAACCACTTTGGTGAGCATTGGAGGAGTATATACAATGACCCTTTTGCTCTGAATATACAGATTCTCATTTTCTCAATGTGGGAAGTTCAAAGAAGGGTCTCTTCAAACAACAGACCTAAAGATTTAGGTGTCTTAATGTGCTCAATTTTTCATCCTTCGAAACAAATATTTAAGTCGTAGGAGACTGGTTCATTCTTTGATCCGAAAAAATATATATATGTTGTTTCACTGGCATTATGGAATACTTGTTCGAGGTGAAGTAGGCCTCTAGTTGGAAAAAAGATGTCCGTATCATCAGCATATAAGATAATATCGCGTGATTGAGGCATGGTCACGTTGTAGTCGATATATAAAAGGAATAACAGAGGCACAAGATTAGAGCGTGGATGAAACAGCGCGGATATACAGTCACACTAAAGGGTGCCAACTCTGACATGAAACCATATAGTGTTGTGTATTAAAACGGGATGATAAATAACTACGATTTTTTTCCAGCGCATTCCCTCTGATTCTAAATTAGTCTAAGCTTTTTTAGTAGAATTAGGTGCTTAATCGAATCAAGCGCCTCCTTTAAAGTCTAAGAATATTCCAATTGTATAATCATGGTTTTCAATATTTAAAATTATTTTATCTTCAATCTGCATCAGAGCCGATTCAGTGGATTTCCCCTTCTGAAAACGAAACTGGTGATCAGTTGTCAGTTTATTGCTTGCACAGTAGCTACACCATCGTGAGTTATAAATTTTTTTCGCAACTTTCGAAAAAAGGCAAGATACAGACATGGTATATAGTTATTGAGATTTTCAAATGTACCACCTTTGTGGAGAATGCAGACTTCTGGAATTCCCATTTTATCGGGAAATATACCCGAAACAATAATTTGATTACATATATGAGCTAAAAGGGTAACACTAATTCTATTGTTGCCTTAACTGGAATAACCTTGGCACTGTCAACACCGCATGCACAATTATTTTTAAATGGCATTATTATGCTACGTATTTTTAATTCATCCGTGGGATCCAGAAAAATTTAGTTCGTCATATGCGGTTGGTTGGTAGAGTGATGTACCGTCCAATGAAGGGAAGCTGCGACGGCACTGTATTGAATTCATGGGATGGGGTTTACTCGTGTTGTTCGTACCGTAGGAGGAAGGTGGGGAGTACAAGCAGCGCAGTAACATTCCCCTCTCGACCTCCCCTTCCATCTCACCCCTCCCCCTTGAACCCTAACACCCTCCCTCTAACGATACGACCAAGGCGAGAGGTTCTTATATAAGAGCTATCAGCCATGTTCACCATCTGTAACTAATTAGCTTTGTTTTAAAGTTTTAAAGTACGTCTAAGTATTCGCGAGCTAAGCGAAGAATCAGCGACTCAGAACCGGCCGGTCTTGCTGTGTCCAAGAGCGCGAATCAAGCGGTAACAAGCGGAAGTGACATAAAAAGATACGTCACGCATGCACGTACTGTGGCGCCACTGCGGGAATGGGGATTTTATCAAGTAGAAAGTAATACTTAAACATCTGTTAGCAAAAAGTAAACGTTATAACAGGAGGCTGATTGTCCAGGACACACCTTTTCAAATAAATTAACATAACAAAAAAATATCGAGGTAGAAAACACGGAATCCGCGTTGCCAGCGGCATACGCAAATATGGAAGGGGTCGCACATTGCGGAGGATCAATGGGGAACAACGGGTGTATCGCTGGGTGCTTGTTAAACCACCTGAGGTAGTCTTCGGCAATCTTCAGATGGCTCAGTTAAAAAACAAACAAATATATATATATATATTAAATCACCTGGCCCACCCTTACACGCCGCTTCGTGGCGCCCCACTGGCGGCCCATGCCCCGCTGTTCCATTGCGCTTCCGAAAAGACGCATCCATATGAAAGCGTCAGTAAATGCGGGCTCTCTCGTCGTCCAGCGCCTTAGTGAGGTCGCTTTAGTGTTATCTCTGACATCTGAACATGCCTATTTCTACAATATTTGTTTTCTAAGATTCTTTCTGGAAGTGTCCCGCAGGGTTTCCACACAGTCAATGCTTAATTAGCCCTGGCAGTCAGCGGAGATAGGAGTCGGCAATGGCGCCGAGCCTCAAGTCACCCGCTAGACACCGGCTAAACTAGCCCTACCCCTGGACTAAGTTTTTTCAGTTATTTTCTAAGTCGCTCGGGGCGACAAAGCCCTAAGCATGGTCGGTGAATACCGAGTACTTATTGAGCTGTGGTAACCACCTGTCACGTGACCATATTAATCGATAATGTAGTTAGTCAGTGGTTAAGCATGCGCTATATGAATACGGCTGTATATTTTTAAAACAACAGCAGTGTTGGAGTGAAGGGGAGAGGGGGGGGGGGGGGTTACATTCCGTAAAAACCGACACCCTCAAGCTAACGGGGCCGTAGTGCTAGAGGTTTGACGTCACCTACCGAAGGCCAGCGCGGTGCATGGGATCGACACGTGGGTTGTGTCTGCGTTCGGCTGGAGCTATAGTGTCCAATCAGTGAAGACAAGCGATTCAGCAGAATGTTGACGTAGCACTCGTTCAACACCAGGCATCAACAAACTGAGGCTTGACGAGAGTAGCAGCAAAGCGGGATGTCGCTGCGTACAAGCGTCGCGCTCATGAGACGCTATAAAGGCCCGTTCACACTCTTGCAACCGAGTACGACCGAGAGAGACCAAACCGGTTTTTAAGCCTCTTGCGATCTCTTAGGACCAGCTCCGCTCAGCGCATCCGGTCCCAAGAAGTCTTTCTCGGTCGTACTCGGTCGCAAGAGTGTGAACGGGCCTTAACACGCTACGGCAAGGCCACTCTAGACGCGTCTGCGGCTTTGAGGATGGCTCTCGCCAAGGTTAAGCGGGTTTGCCGCTGAAGTCGAGTCGGGGATCCAATGTGGAGAGTAAGTCGTCTGCTTCTTGTGCAGGAGTTGTGGTGACGTCAGAGCGAATCCGAGCTCTGATTGGCTTTGATTGAGAGGATAGTGGGTAGACCTCGATGTTAGATGCCTTGAAGTCTACCAAGGAATTCCTTAAAACAGTCAATAAGAGTTCGGCGTTCTCACATCATCGCAACCCCAGTGCAAGAGGAAGTCAAACTTGCGCTCCACAAAACGATGATGTTTTCTTTTTCTTTTTTGGAAAGGGGAGGGATGGGAGTAAAAAAGCGCCGGCCTTGTCGTCTAGGTTTTATTGCTCTGGTACAGTTGAAGAATATGATTAATAAAATAAGAATGCTATAGCGTTTTAAACTTCGTAGTTTTTGTGACCGGTACACACACGTGCTATATGTTGTATTCCTATAGAAACTTATATTGAAAAGTAGTTCAATTCTAATATTTTTCTTTATTGTACACAATCCACCATTGCCCTGATATTGTATAAGTATCTGGCTACCCTGTTCAGATCGTTGCACTTGAACAATGTTTGCTCGGTTTCTCTGAGGACAGTTCGCACCATTTTCTTATTTAAGTACTCGCGTGTCGTCGGGCTTGAAAGGGAGAAGTAAGAAAAGTGACCTCAAATTGTTTCCACTTGGCAGGCGTTCGGAAGACCAGGGCATTATCTTCGGAAGAAGTAATCATGAACTCGACTGTATTATTCATTGGAGGGTGAGTTTGATTCGCATCTTCGTTTGACTTCCTTAACGCGTTGATGTGTATAACGTGGGTTGTTAAAAAAAAAACGCGTCTATCTTAGCTCTGCAGTTTACAAACTTCTGCGTTTGTAATCATCAACTCGATTATTCTATCTCTTGGAGGGTGAGTTTGATTCGCCTGTTCGCTTGACTTCATTAACGTGTTTGATTTCTGTGATGTGGGTTGTCAAACGAAGCTTCTATATTAACACTGTAATTTACAAACTTTAGTGTTGGTATCATATCCGTAACCGATCTTTGAGCACGTAATGTGCCTTCGTGTTTGGTAACACTTATTTTCATAGTGTCACTTGGCGGAGAAATCATATATAAAATTGAGCTCCAATTAAAATAAGAAATGTAGGCAAATTCATCCAGTTATTAGACCAAAACTGTCAGTGTGTTACGATATTTACAAAAAAACTTCAGCCATTTACTACTTTATAAAGACCCCGTAAAATATAAAGGCGTTAACAACAGTTAATCATGTTTTGTAAGTTCATATATTAATGTGAGGATGCCAGCATGGAGGTTAAATTGGCCAAGACACAAAAATAAAAAAATAAATTACCCTTGGTATGAGAGACTGATAGGTTACCTAGGATATACACTAAGTTTCACGATTGTGAGAGCTCCAGTAATTAGAAGAATTAATTTTATAATCTCGTTAATTTGCACCTCGTGACAAAGCAATCCTGAGAAAATTCTAGAGTAACCAGCCCAGAAGTTATCTTATCATGGTTAACTTAAGCCAGCTTATTTTAATTATATATATATAGCTGAACGCTTTATCATTTTAGACAAATACCTTTCGAAAATCTCCTAGCACGATTGAGGCCGATAACTTCGAGTTCTGAAGCTTTCGCAGCAAGTACGAACTCCTTATGCTAATTTTTTGGGGAAACAGATAGAGCCTTTTGCAATGCGTAGTTTAAGTTTGCGTTAGAAACATCAGTGTACACATTTTCTTCAGGCACCCAGTAGAAGGCAGGGTTCCTCTGAAGCGTTAGTTTTTTTAAATACCAAGTAAATGCGCTATTTCTTGGAAGTCTATGGAGGCCCATAACAATAGTTTCTCATATATAAGAACCTTTTGAGATGCTAACACTGATGCGTGGTTTGCCACTCACAGCTTCGAGACAAGTGCAACTTCCCTGTCTTTCATTACGTTCGCTCTCGGCAAGTACCCGGACGTCCAGGAGAAGGTTAGGCAGGAAGTGAAGAAGGTGCTCAACGAGGGTGTAAGTTTTATTTACCTGGAATGTGTTTGTCCGGCTGTACGTGTGTTCCAAATATATCACATATAGGAACCGTTGTGCCATTTCAAAACATAAATGCAGGAATACTACCCATAGGAAATGAACCTAAGTGCTTCATATCCGGATACTACACTGGCTGTGATAAGCAGAACACTGCGTGCGGAGGGCTAACGGTTGGTTTATAAAGTCAGTATTTTTACACTATAGCTTGGATCATGCTGCCGAAAACCTAATAACTCAGAATGTGCTTAGCTACCATACGATTGACGTGTGTTGGCATGGCATGCTGCCGGTGTGTGATGAGGAGTAAGAATAACCAGTGTGAAGCAGGAATTAAAGGTTGTATTTTTTCATCTAGCATCGAAGTTTTTTGTTGTCGTATTTTTCATTATGTTTGCCTAAATGTATTAGGACTATTGTATCATTCATACAGCTAATATATATTTTAAATTATAGCCACATATAAGCAGAATACCATCTGAAAGGTCTATGATGGTGATTAAAATATTTCATGAGATACCGGCCTCCAAATGTCACCATTTGTCGTTCGAGCAGGTATGTTTTGTAACTTTAAGAAAGATAAATATAATTTAAATCAATATAATTAGTATATATTACACGCAAGCTGTACCCATAGTTTGTTTCTGAAAAGTATTAGGATTCTTTTTATTTTATCGTTTTCGTTATTCACTTTCAAACGTGCCGCCTCCATCTGTGTGCGTAAATGCAAATGTTCACCGCTTCATGCTTTACGACTTTTCCTATCCCCAAATTGTTTTTCTTGTCAAAACTAAGTGTGGATCTGTTTTTACCAGACACTAGAAAATGGCATATAAAAACATCAGATGATTTAAAATAGTCGAACAGCCACCCATAGGTTGATCTTTTCTGAAATAATCCAGAAGTCTAGAAGTAAATATTTTGTACTTGCAAGCACACTAACAATTAAACAGTGTGATGTACATGTAAATATAGTTTTCATTAATTGGGTTTATAATTCCAGGGGTCGCTGGACTATGAGACTGTTACGCAAAAACTAAAGTACGTGATACAGGTTATCAATGAGACAATGCGGATGTGGCCACCCGGACTCACGTGAGTACAGATGTGTTTTGTTTTTAGTGCAAGTGCCAAAATACAGACACAATTTGGCATTTGATTTTATATCAAGTGTTGTGCATCTTTCATTTTATTGTATGTTAAGTTGAAATTAATACCCAAATAAATTGAACTCTAAATAGAAATACGATTTAATTCACCGGGATAGTAAACATATATCAGTTTCACCCGTAGCTCGAATATTTTCACTTTAACACTAAATACCTAAAACGTTTAGTTTTTTTCGAACTTGATTATCTTGCAGAGAGTGCTAGGTTAACAAAAAAAAACAATTCAAGGCATAAAGCCGTGTTTTTTTTCTCTGCTTAGTTCAGCGTTTGGCACAGTTCCAATAAGCTAAAGCACTTTAATGTAAAGAAAATGACAAAAAACAAATTTAACATACGAAGTGGTGATTTGCTTACGATGATGCAGGAGAACAGTTCAGTGAAGAGTAAGAGGACAGAAACTAAGTATTAAACTATTTTTTTGTATGCGTCTATACTCTCTTTAAGTTAACCCTCCCTTCTCTTTGTTCAGCGGGTAAAGATTAACCAAGTCGGCTGCATCATAACATTTACGCTTTTAACTTCAAGTAGCTGTGAACAAAGCTAGTTTTGACCCAACACCTCGTGCTGAAGTTTTGAAGTTAATTGGAGGGGTAAACACAGGGCGTGGATTAGACATGTATCAGGCGAAAGGTCACCCAGCCCTCGTGTACAATAGACTACTTCCATAAACCCCTGCCCGCAACACGGCGCACGTTGCACTCTGGTGAGCTAGTTGGCCAGGGAGGAGATAAGGCGTGGTTTCGGTTTCGATCGACACGTCGACAAGAGATTATACACAGAGTGTGGCATGTTTTCTGGTCCCGAGAGCGCAATTTTTTGTCTCTAAACTAACCTAAATGGCCAGACCTCGAAGCTATAGCACAAGCCCGAGACGTATAGCTTGTCTTAACACATGCTGGTTGCATTTTTGTACTCGAGCCTTTCTGTTAGCGTTTCGAGGTATGTGAACGAGCCAGTGTTGGGAATCTCGAATCTGCGAAGCTCGGAGATCTTGCTTGTGTACGAATCAACAAGCTGTTACAACCAATAAGTATGCATGCATCGAGCTCGCAAATTTACATTATTGTTGCTGGTCAGGAAGTTTGTTTGTTTTGTGCGTCCATAGACGAAATATAAATTTTTGCAATTACTGTTTTATTCTATACGCCTGAGTACGCGAGGTAAAAGTCGGAAGCGCCATTGAAAAGGTCAATTGGAACGCACTTCTTATCTCTTATCTGTACTGACCCGCAGCACCGCACGAAGCGAAGTCCCACCCGCTTGCAATCCACTCATATTCAACATCGCGTATGCGCATAATGTTATTTTGCCAATCATATAGGCACATTCGCACATACAAACCTTTTTAAGAAAGCAAAAGTCGAGCACTTGCGTGAAAACTGTCGCGCCGTCACCGGAAGTGCGCCGGACGGGCGTGAACCCCTATGCCAGGGGTGGCCGGGCTGACCCGGTGTAAGAGCCGCAAAAAAAAGCACGAAACCTCCAAGAGGCGCGGGGGGGGGGGGGGGGGGGGGACTTTTATTTAGAGCAATAAACGAAACTCGAACTACTTTCAATCTATCCGAGTCAAAAGCAGTCCATCTGTACGTAAGGTAGCAGACTACCAAACCGCAACCTTTCTTTCACTTGAAAACTCGCTTCATTTCTCTTTTTGGGGAAGTGCTCGTGTGACCGGGAGGGTGGCGGGAAGTGGGAGGAGGGGGGGGGGGGGTAGGGTAGGGAGCCGCGAGCCGCAGCTTGGCCACCCCTGCCCTATGCGGTGCGCGAAAATAACGAAATTATTCAAAGCTCATTTGACGGATGCTAATGGTCATAATATTTGTTATGTGTTTGCTTTCTTCCTGACTGAGTATTCCGACATGATTTCGCACACCGTTCAGACGGATCTCGGGCGTCAGTAAAAGCTCGTTCAAAAAGACTTAGCGAGGAGCAGGAGACGATTGTTACAGCCTCCGCCGTAGCTAGCCGATCTCAGCATTTGCGAAAACTTAATCCCCTATCAGCATAAAATTTGAGTAGAAGATATATGATGGCACGAGGAAGACATCATAGTAACTTTTGTGCAGTAGTGAGGTCGAATTTATTGCGTTTCCTTAACAGTTGATGCGTCAACGCTGGCCTCAACTTTGACACTCCTGTGAGGATGCGGCTTGCTTTTCGCCCAGTGAAGTAACACGAAGCGGACGTTAGGAAACAAAATATGTGTAAAGCTCAAGGTGACCAAGTTTCAGTTATAGTTCACTGGTACTAGACAGGATTATTGAACTTGAGCTCAAAGATGCACTCGTGGGTGAGGTGACTACGCCACGTCTTACTACGTTTGCATACACACTCACAATATCCGGTGTCTCGAAAACCAAGGAAAGTGCCCCAGTCTTCGTTTTGTATCGCTCGAGACTGTGTGTATCGTACATTCGTGAAAAGTCAGATAATCGAAAACGCAATCAGCGCATCCGGTCACGGCGTGATGGCATGAAATGAAGCTGCTCAATTGAAACCGAAACTGAGTGGCCAACTAGTTCCCAGAGTGCACTGCGTGGTATTTCGCCGCGATAGAGCGCTTCGATTTTGGAAGAAGTCTATTCATGCCCTGCGCTCGCCTTTTTATGTGGCACAGAAACTTTAGTCATCCAGCCTGGTTATTGAGGAGACGTGGTCGACCTTCATGTACAGTGTGTTCTCAACGCTATTCGGTCGTAAACATCACCCTTGTGAATATACCAATCAATTGAGTCCAATAAAACGTTTTAGAAGGGTGTCTTTATTTGGTGCATTTATTATAATCAAGCGTAATGAGTGTGTGTCTTAGGGACATAAAAAACACAAAAACCTACGAAAATTCGGCAGAGACAAGACTGCTTACGTGTGGGAATGCGCAAGTATGACGCATCCACTGGGCACACCTATAGTCAGCCAGAACTATGGAGCCGCCGTGGCGTCGGGGAAGTTTGCTTGTCTCGCACCCCGGAGGCGCGGGTTCGATTCTCACGGAAACCAAAATGTATCACATTTTCTTTTCAAGGCCTATAATTTACTTAGTTTCCAGGAACCTCTCTGACAAACTTGACGTCAATCCGAACATTTCTGATGTGTTTTTACTGTTTTCGCCGTCGGCCATTTTTGGTACCGTCGCTCCGTCACGCCGCAACGACACCGGATTTTTGCGTAATGGGGCATAGGCTTTCGCATTAATAACCAGTTATTTGATGCACAAAAACGGAAACAGAAAAAAAAAAGAATTCTTGTTGACGCTACTACTTACACATGGTACCACACACACTGCTGGACTTCCTTAGGGTATTCATCTCAAAGAAACTTACATGTTTTTGCTTTATACTGCACCATTTGTGGGCAGCAGCCTCAATCATAATTGTTTTGCCATTTTATTCCTTGTGCACAGGAGAAAGGGGCCTTTTAGTCTTAATATATATTTTTTAATCTATTTTCATACAACTAGAATACGCTAAATGCAGCATATAAATACAAGGCTAACTTCTGGAACTAAACAATCACCGCGTAAAAGGAATAATCCCATGCTTATTTTTAATTTCTCGAAAGCTGAGGATGAGTTCATTATTGACGCGCCGGAACTTTCCCTTGACAAGTTTTTAAATATGTGTTGAGACGGTTGTTCTATTGATCTTCTTTGCGGCTTTTTCAAGTAGGTTGTGCTTGAATGTTTACACCGTTTTGTTCGGATGAGCACTAAAGTTGCACACAAGCATAACCCGTGGATAACTCGTGGAATTCTGCACTTGAAACTGAGAATTAATCGTGTTAGGAAGTGCAGCAGATCTTTACCCATATCTGAAGTGGGAAGAAACCTTAAAGCAATGATTCGCCTCGCCAAGTCTCCATTCAATACTGTCAATCTGCAAACGTTTTTGAAAGAATCGCCTGATAAATTCTGGAGGGAGTTATCGCCGGCCGAAAAAAAATATTTCCACGCTCTTCGTTTCAGCCAGTCTGGTAGACGATGATAGCGCTATCGCAGAAGGTTTAACGAATATTTTGCGTGTGTCTTCACTACGGATATTGGCACAGTGCCTTGTTTTGATCAGCTGTCCACTTTATCAACGTTACCTGATATCATTATCTCTACAGAAGTAATGTTCTCAGCTCTGCTTAATCTTTCAGCAAAGAAAGCCATTCGTGCTGACGGTATTCCAAATTCATTTTTAATTCGCTACGCTCAGTGCTGCTCGAAATATCTTTACCTTAGTTTTCAAAGGTCTTTAACAATATCTGTCATTTCTACAGAGTGGAAATATGCAAAAGTAATTCTCGTTCACAAAACTGGCTCCCTGCTACTTCCTGTAAACTATAGGCCTATTTCATTACTTCCTTACTGTTCGAAACTGCCAGAGCATATTGCTTTTAAACACCTCGCGAATTACTTAGAAAACAATGCTTTTTTTCAAATTAGCATGGTTCCCGTCATGGCTTTTCTACTACGACTCAGTTACTTGAAACAGTCCATGATTTCGCAAATATCCTGAATCGATCCAAACATATTGACGTCATATTCCTAGATCTTTCTAAAGCTTTTGATAGAGTATCATATAGTAAACTTCTCCTTAAACGTACATCAATTGTTCAAAACGAAGGTATCTTTCGCTGGCTCCAGAACTACTTACAGGACAGAAAACAGTACGTGCAGATCAACTCGAGTGAATCATCATTAGTCCTTGTTTTATGGGGTGTTCCGCAAGGGTCGGGTCTGGGGCCATTACTGTTCTCAATTTTTATAAACGATTTAACCACTAATATTCCAGTACGTGTTCGACTGTTTGCAGACGATGTGGCTTTATTTACAGAAGTCAATGAAATAAGTGACCAGACTCTACTAAACACCTGCTTGTCCAAGATGTCGCACTGGTGCGACTCGTGGCAGATTTCATTGAATGTCAAGAAGTGTGTTCGAACGCATATAACTCGTAAATTAAGCCATCTTTCTTTCGATTATTTCATGAATAGTACTTCACTAGCCGAAGTTACTTCTTATAAATACTTGGGTGTCATTATATCGAATGACCTACGCTGGAACACTCATATCATGTCTACTGCGCGCAAAGCACTATCCAGGTTATGGTACTTAAGACGAATTTTAGAAACATGCCTCTCCCGACGTTAAATTGACAGCCAATAAAACTTTTATATTACCCGTCCTAGAATTTGCTTCGGTGGTTTGGGATCCGTTTACAAGTGCCAACATAAACCTCCTTGAAAATGTTCAAAGAAAAAGTTTACGCTTCATTCATGATAAATTCCAGCGAAAATATCCCGTCTCCGAACTGTACCCCCTTTCTGGGGTGAACTTACCAAAGGATTGACGTATGTTTACGAGAATAAAGTTTCTATTTGATTTATTAAACAACCAGTTAAAAATAGAAATCTCTAAATATATTTCACCCGCACCTCAAGATTATCCTATGCGAAGTTATCGTTGCAAAACACTCAAAGAATTCAACTGTCGGATTAAAGCATTAAAGTATTCTTTTCTTCCAAGGACTGTTCACGACTGGAACCCCCTGCCAAGCAATATAATAACAGCATCACCAGAGTCGTCCTTTTTTAATATACTCCGCGATTTTTGGGATTCTCGTATCTGATACTCCTTTATTATTTTTTGCGATGAAGATAGTCTTTGTATAACGCTGTTTTTTCTTGTTTTTTTTACATGTTTAACTCTTCGTGTGTTTTTGGATCAGCTAAAACGAATGTCCTTGTGCTTGTTACCCGCTGTTTTTTATTATTGTTTTTGTGTACCATATGTTGTAAACCACTCCTACCACGTCTCCTAAAATAGGAGACAGTAATATTAATAAATAAATAATAAATAAATTTGCGATGCCTCTATTTATTGACTTATTTAGGGGAATTTCTTTTTGTGGCCGTATAGTGCTCGAGAACACACTGGAAATTACGTCTCCACGTCATGCTGAAACGTGTACGACCTGGGGAACGCTGAACACAACAAAAGGAAATTCCGATATCGGGCTGAAAGGAGAAACATGCACCACAATGACCTTTGCACCGTTTTTATGTTTTCACGTTTTTACTTTACCGACCACACTCTGAAGCATGGAGCTGTTTTAAAACATTTTCCGTCTTATCCATGAGGTTGTTACTTTTTTTGTAAAAGCTTGCGACGAGGGAACACTCTCGTACGCTGGCGTCAAATGTCAGGTAGTCCTGGAACGCTGTTAATTTGTATATAGACATTTTATAACTGTTTTACGAAATCATTGTCCATGAGCACCATAGGCAACTATTTCTCATGGAGCGTGCGTAGATCTCAATTGACACATACTGCGCGAACTCCAGTCTCATTATTAGCATTTCCAGGGCTATTTGACAGATGGCGCCAGTACACCACTGTGTGTTTGTCGTCGTAAGCAATTACAAGTGAATGTAATTCACTTGAGCAACCCCGAATGCACCAATCCGAACCAGCCTAACATTTGGCAATAAGGGAGTCTGCCCTATTCGTTACAAGGTAGTACGCCAGAAGAACGCCTCATCTGGCACAAACTGCAAGCTTGGCAATCCCAGGGGCTTAACTTCGGCCTAACACGGTCTTGCTCCAAGTCTAAAGTACCTCTCGTCTGCGTTTGTATTGCTTTTTTCTAGTTCGAAACTTAATCACAAAAGTGTCAGACTTGAGCCGAAGATTCCACGCATAAATTAAAAAAAAAAACAGCAGCAGTGAAGCCCAAATCTGGCACTGGTCTATAAATTTAGGTCTCCATTTGTCACATGAAAACGCTGCAAGTGGACTCTGGCACTTCTTGCGTGATTTAGACAAAAAATACGAGATAACAGCCAAAGTACCAGTAGTGAAGCCTAACTTTCCCACATAATTGTTTGGCGAATTAGGGACAAAACACCACCACCCAGGTTAAACAAGGTCAAGTGTGTGTCTACCTTGGTATCTTCGCGGCTCTTTAAGGCCTCCAATGTCCCAGTAACAGGCCAATTTTAACCCATTTAATTGTACTACTTGGTTTTCCACACGTGCATGCCTGTCAAGCGTTGTAACATGGGCAAATGTTGTCAACCTCATCCACAGGTTTACCACGAGGCAGGCAATGGAAGATTTTGAGTACCAGGGTATCAAATACAAGGCCGGAACTTGCATCATGTCTCCAGTGGCCGTGATGCACATGGACGAGAGGTTTTTTCCGGATCCCACAAAGTTTGACCCGGACAGGTATTACGGACATGAAGCAGTTTTGATACTGATGACAACGAGGTGGTGTATTGGGTAAAAAGAGAATATATAGTGGCTATTTATTTATTTCCAATACTTCTAACCCCATTCGGGGTTGTTCTAGGGCTATATTTCTGCAGTGTCTCTGTTTACGGCGTATAAAGCCTTCTTGTCTGTTTGTCTTAAATGTCCCTCTTTCCTTATCGTTAATTAATAACCAACACGCTCAACCATCTACACAGATAATTTTACTTTGGTCATTAATTGCACCCTTCAACCGCATTTGCGATTTTTGTTAAATATCTTTAAGGTTTCCACTACGATTGAGCAGAGTTTGTTTAGTTATGGTTAGGCCAATCTCCAAGCATCACATAACTTCTAAAACACGAAACAACATAAAATTGCATACAAACTTTAATCTTAATACTGATGCCTAATGTCAATATTAAATTACCATGGTATTCATTTACAGCAAGAACGTCAGAGCGGCGTTGAAGGAAGTAGCATAAAAATTCAGAAAAAAATGTTACACAAGCTTGGTTATGCTGAAAAAGACTTGGATACACAGAACGTGTGATGGGCCTTCCAAAGAGGAAAGAGAAGGACGTAACTCCGGACCGCTTCCTCGCTCGCCGCGCCAGAGACTTCGCTTTTGCGTGATTTGACCACCGGCCCTGGATAGCTCAATGGTCAAAGCATTTGGGTTAGAATCTAGAGGGGATGGGCTCACATCCTAACGGAAACTGAAGTATTTTTATACGAATCCCTACAAATGTAACGCTAAGCACATGGAGCGAAAGCTCGCGCTACAGAACCCAGGATCCTGGGTTCAATAGCTACCCCTGCCCGTTTCGATCTGGATGGGCATCGTACCGGCGTGCTGTCCTGTATCACTACTGCGTGATGCACTTTAAAGACCTCAGGCTAGCGGTTGTACTGCATTGGCTAAATTTCTCATCTACAGCTAAGAGACTCGTCGCCCGTTGAGGCAGACCAAGTTCTGGGCTGTATAAACATACACACAACCCAATTTTACCACTTTTAGGCGGCGGTTTCTCGTTACAGTGGGCCTTTACAGACAAATGTTACACAACTCCATGAAAATCGGTTGTTAAAGTACATTCAGTGTTAAAACCTGGTTATAAAAAGTTGTATGATACCTTGCATTTGCACGAAAACATTACGTCTTGCATTGGCCCACAGTCACTGACACTTTGAGAAACGAGGATGTTGATAACCATGTTCACGCGTCTGGCGTCGCGATTCGTTCGTTCAAGGGTGTCTTTGTTAGCAAATGCCACAATCTCTTCGGCAGGACACGGATAACAAGACGCTCGGAAATACAACTTCTTGAAATTTTGGAATGATGCACACATTTGACGCGGCCGTCAATAGTTGGTCATGCGCAGTGAGCGTACAGTGGACGCGAGCGCTTCGTCAGCATTCGGAGTGCACTCGAGCCGAAGCGCATTCCACACAAGTGCTGCGTCAGTGCTCGGCGCCAACTTGGAACGCATCACGGGCTTGACTCCAGAAGCAATGGTACCAACTAATGGCCGCTGCGCATAATCTCTGCATCATTTCACAATATCGGAAAGCGCGTTTTGCGTAATCCTGCTTTACGCAAGAGCTGTCTGCTTCAAGGACATTGAATTTTCGCGTGTTAAGTTGTATTCACTAGTAAACTTTTTCATCGTGCGTTGCAGGTTTAGCGAGGAGAACGAAGGCAATATTCCGAAGTTGGCTTTCCAGCCTTTTGGAGTGGGACCTCGAAATTGCCTGGGACTCAGGCTTGCTTATCTCCTGCTCGCCTACACTGTTGCTAGGATGGTGCAGAACTTCCGTTGGGAACTCGGAGAATCTCAGAAGGCAAGTTACATCAAACATCTTTACGTCGTGTAAGCTTGTCTGCCCCTTGCACACCTCGTTCATTGATTTACCCCCTGAAACGCGCTCATGCGCTTTTGTTTTCGTCCGACCTAGACAAATGATATCCTGCGCTTGTGGCGCGTTCTCTATGTTGCCCTTTGGTTGGAGCGCACGTCCTTGATACCCGATGAGCCGAAGACATATTTCGGAACACTTGCGCGTCGTATACTTGTTTAACCCGGATTTTCGGTACTTTAAGGGAATTTGCCTTAGAGAACTTCACTCCACTCTTCTTTTGGCACACATTACGCGCAGGAGCTCTAAACGTGATGAACACAAGGTTCAAGACTATAGTTCGGGGAGGGCGCAGACTGAATTTCGGGACGAAAGGTCGGCGTTGATCTTCGCGAGAGCCCTCTTGGAACGCTTCGTCAAATTCGTCTCTAAATTTGTTATGAAAGCTTTAAGCCGAGACTGCAGCCGAAAAGGAAATCATTTTTACAGTTGCAGAAAAGGGAACGGACAGACCGTGCTGGGTCAGCATACGGTTTTGTTTTGGGTCGCTTTTCAAGCGATATGATTTTTTTTCAACCAATTTTTAGCGGAAAAGATATCGTTAAATTTAGCTGAAAAGATATCGTTAATTGATATATTAATTCCCCTGCATTTTAGGACTTTGAAGGAAAAGTTTGCTGCCAATTGTTTCTTTTTTATGATGTGGGTGTAAGTTCTGTGGGTTGGCATTGAAAAAGGCAGGATGTTCTGCAGTTGTGTGACGTAATCATCCTGCATATAAGGAGGGTGGCTAATTAAAGTAATTAGCATAGTTAGACACGTGTCTGTCTTTTTCTATTATCCCTCTGGCTCAGTCCCGGGTAAAAGTCATTATGATAAATTTCCACCAGCTCGTCCGCGAACTGACTGTATTCTCAGCTTTGAGTTTTAAGACTGTAAGGCCTTAGATTTCAGAAGTGAAAAGAGAGGCGTTGGTTTGACGATGAATGCTAAGCTTTTTCTCTTACTTTCAAGGAGCTTCGCCTGCACTGTCAAAGGGGCCGCCGGGCTTGATAACTTTGTGCATGCAGCAATGCACACGCGCGATTGACAAGACATATCCAGCAACTAAATAAATAAATATCTGCATTCAAACAGACATGCTGGAATTGATGGGGACAGTGCGAAGCTGTACTCGCCTCTAAAGATTTGAGTAATAATATTCCTTTTTTTTTTAAACAAGAAACGTACGTCCCGCGAGCCATACATACTTTTCCATGAAACTTGCCGCTTAATTTGTCAAGTTCATGCAAGGAGGGAAAGCAATTTTATGCGGGTAGCTATAGTCCGGTTTCACCCCAAAAAGCGGTAAGCTGTTTACGGGAAAGTCATCTATACTCATCCCTACTGCATTCTGAAATCATCATCTGAAGTCATCTGCACTCATCCCTGCGTAGAAGTGAGCATCGATAAACACGGGGTGGTGGCGCTTCAGAATGCAGCAGGGATGGGTGTAGGTGACTTTCTCGAATTGCTCACAGTTTATTTAAACTCGACCTTTGTTGAGTGGAAACAACGGAGTGTATATTCAGAAACGAGGTGTTTGTATTGGCTCGTGTTTAGCTGCAATTTTGAGCGATATGTTTTTAGCCCATCATGACAGAGTTCTCTCGGGACGCCTGAATGAATTTCATGGTATCAATGTTTTTAGATTTGTCGACGATTATTTAGTTTTTCTTCACCATGATGTTTCTTAATTTTTTCTCGGTGATGAACAGCCTTTTAAAAGTTTTTAGTAACGTCCTAGATCCTCTCAAGTTTACGCTCGAGATACCTGTGGAGAGCGTCATGCAGTTTTTAGATATCAGGCTCACACTTTCGGAGCAACATGTGTGTTGGAAATACAAACCGAGAGCAAATAAGCCCCTGTTGCCGTTCAATTCATCCCATTGGAAACTCGTTAAGAGAGGAATTGTAAATGCGTGCTTTGTGAACGCCATCATAAGGTCGTGTCATTATGCGATGCCTTCAGGTCTGAAAGAGCAGTCGGAGAGCTTGGTGGCTGCCGGTTATCCGGGGACGCTCCTGGTGTCGGCTGCAGAAAAGGTTTTATAGAAACTACGAGTAGTAGCGAGTCCAGATCAAGATATTGCCCAAAAAGAAACAAAGAGTGGCGGTTGTGCCTTACATGCACAAAACCGCACACAATCTCAAAAAGATTGCAAACCGCGTAAATGCTCGGGTGTTTTTTTCTGCACCAGAAAAAAACTTCCCAAGTTGTGCGAACTGACGGACCCTAACCGCAAACCACTGGTGGGCTGCGTGAAAAAGCATCGCAGCCCGTTTGTAGAATGCGCAGAGAGAGTCGTCTATCAGATCCCGCTGACGTGCGGTACAAAGTATTTAGGACAGACGGGAAGATGTCTAAATGATAGATTGCGCGAACACAACCAAAAAGTGAGCGGACAGCGTGACAGTCAATTGTCAATGGACTGCCATGACTGTGGGTGCAAACCTGAATTTAATTTGTGCACTGTTGTTAGAAAGCATCGATATAAGACGGTAAAGAAATTATAGAGGCAGACCTGATAAAAAACTACGGCGATCGATGTGTCAGCGTGGCGTCAATCGATTTGGGCGACAAAGAGACACAGTTCTTGCGAGCATTGGCGTGGCATGGGATTGATTGAATGTCGCAATGATGCAGAGTATTTATACCCTTGAATTTCTGGCGATTAAACCAGTTTAAGTTCGCGCATTGTGTTGTCTTGTTCCTCCTCTTCGTCCCCGTCGTGAAGCGCTATTATGTTTTCCAAGTTACAGTACCAACTAGCCCAAGAATCCGCATTATCCAAGAAAAAGTCCTGCGCGTTTACTGTCCTCTTAAGCAAGTGATACAAGCCCATCCAACATCTTTCATAATCACTTAAATTAAAAAAAAGAAAAAAGAAAACGTGGCATCTGTTTTAATAAGCTCAAACGTTATGCTTATAGAATCTTTCTTTAGCGGTTTATTGGTTTAGAGGCAGCTATTGTCGCCTTGAAGGAGCAGCGATGACATTGTCGGGGCTCGCAACGCCGGTGACTTTAGAAGTCGTAGGGTTGAATTTTCGGCGTCACTTAAAAAGGCCAACACAAGCAGTGTCCCGCGTTGGCCTTCTTTTTTTTTTACGTCAGAACTGAAGCAGTACAATTTTGTTATCTACTAGGTACTGGCCCTTGACTTTTATTTGGTTAATGGCGTACTTACATTCTGGAACGATATAAAAGTGCCCAGGCGAGCACTTGGCTACAGCGCTATCGAAGGTTAGGAAACTAGGCAATTATCATTGAGTCCATTGGGATAAGAAGCAGAATATCAGCGGCTGCTTGATATTTGTCATTCGTCTGCACTTGGTTGGCTAACGATTGCTGAATCAACACTTAGAGTACCGCTCGGTAAATAAAATGAAAGGGGGTTATCTCCATTTATCGTGCGAACATTTTATCTAACACCTGATAAAAGAGAGCTCAATCTATCGATCCTGTAGATTCAGCCACGCTTGATTTTTTTTTTTCGCCAAATTCCTTCATATTGGGCGAAATCAGTATGAGCTAAGTGAGAGCTAATTAAGTGGGGAGTGACGACGAAAGTTTAGCAGCCGCTAAAGCCTCGATAATGGTTTAGCTTTCTTCTGATAGATAGAACGCCAGGCCCCCTCAGCCTGGAGCTCGTCTTGGATGTTTATACTGTCCGCAACTGTATAGCAAAAAAAAAAAAAAAAAAAGTTTAACACAACACTTAATACCTTATAAAAAAAAAAAAGAAAACAGGGTCGTAGTCTTGTAATTTGTTTTTCGCCGCCTACTGGGGCCAGTGCGAGCCACAGATTAGCTACGAGTGCTGCGTTAGCGCTCGGCCGGGGCTCGTCTCCAATCAGCACGATTCTCAGCCGAAGGGCGACGAAAGCGTTCTCGCACAATTTCTAGCCCACTCTGCCATACAGTGAGTGACATTCGGAATCGAGCAATATTGCAATTATCCGGCGGCTGAGTCTACCCAGGGGCAACGAGCAGTTGAATAGTGGTCGTTGCATTTTCTAGGGTTGCGTTTCGGGCAGCTTTTGTCACTGCATGAGCTTAAATCTGTCGAATTGGACCTCTTTCTCTGTGCAGATCAGCGGGTCAATGACCCTCGGTCTGGGTAGCCGGAGAAAAATAGAGCTGTCGTTGGTTCCTCTCCATTTCGCTATTTCTAACTAAATTATATCAATGAGACGTCTGAGTGTGATGGTTTATGCTTCTACCAGCGCGACCTATTTCAAATTGTTTTCAGTGGTAGCATTGCGCAATAATACAGTCCAATTTTTTCCCACTTTATATGTAAACACTTTGTTTTACAAAAAAACCCGCATCTGCGCACGCGAAAAAAAAAAAAATTAGAGCTACGTCCTGCGTTTCTTAAATTTGCACTGAAATGAATTCTGAAATTTTCTATTTATGGTTAACTCAATCTACAGCTCTAAACATCCTAGAAATTTACTTATGAATGCCGATTTCTCTATTAGAAATCTAATAAGAAATTTTGACAAACCCCTCTTCCTTCGCTTTGGAGAATACACCAGGAGGCGCCTCCTGACGGCGTCTTAGAACAATAACTGCTGTATTACGCCTCCTACACCCAAAGTTTTGATGTTTTTGTCAAAACATATTGAACAACACGCCTCAAACGAGCAAAATAGCGAAGTTCGGAATTGCCACACAATTAACTAATCAACTATTTTCATTATTATAAGTTTATGGATGCGGCGAGGACACGAGGGAAACCTAACCAAGGGAAAATAGTGCCCGTGTATTTTTATTGCCGCGAGCTTACAAGGGCGCCTTTTCATCTAGAACTTGGTGTTTTGTTGAAAAAAGCTCAACAAGCAGCACGTCATGAAAAATAAGCTTATACAAAAAAAACAAAAAACACTTAAGCGCCCCTTTAAGCTGCAAGCAACCTTAGTCGAACGGTGCATGATCAAAATGTCTGAGACCATCAATCTAATGAATGAACAAACTTCTCGCTTTTAGAATGTTTCATCAAATGTGAACTGTTTTGTTGGTACCTAATGCATGAAATCATTTCAGGGAGAAATGCCTCTTGGACAGTACGGCATGGTGGCGACGCCGGGAAGAGGACCTTGGATTGTCTTCCACAGATTATGAACGCAACAGCCAGCCCAACAATACACACCTTTCTCCGTTGCGTCTATGCGCCAGAATTAGCCGATTGGCTGAAGATGCACGTTACGGGATTGTGTCACCTTACGGCGCAGCATCGGCGAAGCTGATGAGACCGAGCCATAGATTCGAACCGGACTGGACAATACCCGCCACGGCCAGCGGCGCTTAAGGACAACCTTAGAGGAGCTCCTTTACTGCCTTTTCTTATGTTGTGACAATAAAATTGTTTTCGTGCAACAATGTGTGATGTTCAAAAAGCACTAAGTTTGTGCCACAAGTAAAAGCACTGGTGCTAACTACGAGTACACATTTTAGTGATGTTTGGGCTGTACTATAGCCCACAAAGTCTTACACGAAAAGTTTTCCTTTGGCTCGCCTGTTGGACTCTTTTGTGCACTGCACTATTAGCTAAACAGACCTGTACACGTTTATAAAAAAAGGAAAAATTTCAGTTACAATTACACGAGAATGAATTTAAACTAATTAAAGTTACAATTACCCGTCCATAAAAGTAAGTGACCGTTACCACAAAAAGTAATCCGTTACTTTCCGGGTGTTACTTTCTACCTTACTGTCCTAGGGTAGGACACAAAGCACAATAGTGTTATAGAAGCGTTTATTGTCGCCACCAGTCACACTTTTGTTTTAACTTCAGCAACAGGAGTCTCGAAAGCCTCGTCAGACGTCTTGCCTCGTTTCTAAGTGAAGTTGTCTGCCGCTGCGCTGAACACCCTTTCAATTCAGGCACTAAAATACCTAACGCACTGGATTGCGTATTTCTCGAGAGAAATGGAACAGCTCTCTGCCCAGTGAAAGAGTAACGCTTCCTAGTAATACAGCTAATTAAACCTCGAATAAAATCACGGGTGTGACAGAAAAATAGCGAGACACGGTGATTACACAAAACAATTAAATCATAGAATATGCTTTTATATCAACCTTCCATTAGGAACACAAGCCGTTCTTTGGTTGAGATTTTGGTGCATAAGACGACGAGCTATTACGATATATAACTAGCAAAAAGATCAGGGGATCCCTCAGAAAACAAAAATATAATGTCGATTAAAACGGATATGCAGACGCACGCATTCCGTGACTGCCGTCTCGTGTGTGGCGGATCTTTCACGGGAGCATCACCCACCCTTGAGTGACCATCGTCTGTTGCCGGCTGGGCAGTGTTTCTGTTTGCCACGTGCCGCCACGATCCCAAGCCTCGTCATCAGAGTTGGGAACCACGATCTCTACCGTCATTTCGTCAGCTGAAGCCGCGTCACCGCTACGTGACCTTGTCAGAAGGCTACAAAAAGAATCGGTAGGACGGCCGCCTCTGAATTTCTTGCCAAGCTTTGCCAGTGCACTAAACGTGCCGCGAATCAATCACAGCTGTGTACACTTAAGCAATTCCTTAGTTCTTGCCTTATCTTTTGCGTTACTTTGGCTGCGAATCTCACCCTAGTGTATAAATGGGTGTTGACGTTGCGACGTACCGAATACGAGTCGGAAGGCTCTCGCCCTGTCGGAAAGAATGACTCACAAGTTATCACCAAAACAGTTCAACATTTTTGGTTTGGTAGAATTCAGTCATTTCAAACTGCTCGCTGTCCTGACTGTACTTTTCTTACTACTTTCTTCAGCTGGTGACGTTGAGCTAAACCTAGGTCTCACTAACGCTAAAAAAATAGATAAAATGCAAGAATCGTCTGATAGCAAGTAGGAATCAAAACCAGAGGATAAACGTATTTAAATTAAACGCAATCAACAAAGGATTGCAGACCTGGGCACTCGTGTGTCCAACCTGGAAGTCAGAGTTGCTGAAATCAGCCTAATAAAGAAGAACAAGGCTAACGCCACCGAAACACTTGGTATTCTGTAGCGTGAATCTACGATTGCGCATGAGCAACTTCCTGGGTTAAGAAACTTTCTGGATTGCGTGAATTGGCAGATGCTCAGAAACAATCTTATCCTTCGCGGTTTGCCGGATCGTGAAAACCAAATCTGGAGTGGCACAGAAGATCTGGTATCTAGCTTTATCAAAGAAAAGCTGGCACCTAACCTTGGCAAAAAAGAAAGAGCCCATCGACTGGAGCCAAAGTGTCTAGGTTCTAACCGTATAATAATTGTCCGCTTCCTCAGCTTCAAAGCCAAAGATAACGCTCTCCAAAATGCTGCCAAATTAAAAAAAAAATAAAAAATAAAAGACGCTTCACCGAGGGTATGGGTTTTTGTTTCATCTTTCGTTGAGAGTACGTTTCGAAACAAAAAAAGTTGCTGGATTTTTCCGCCCGGTTTAGGGATCACCATATTAGGTACAAACTTTCGTTCGATAAATTGCATGTTGGTAATAAAACGTATGCGTATAGCTATGCTGCCAAAACTGTCGCAACTGTTCAAAGACCACCTCAAGTTGTCCGTGCAGACGACTGATGAAACCGGAATGTACGTCAACGTTCTGTTAATCCGACATTTTCCTTTTTTGTTCCAAATTTTCGTTGTTTATTTTCAAAGCAAGATGTTTATAAGTACATTACCGCCTCCTGCAAACCTGACGTAATCATTGGAACTAAAACTTGGTTAAATTCAAGCCTAGAAAACAAAGAGTTAACACTGAAAAAATCACAAACTTATGTCGTAAAGACCGCCCAAATGCAAGGGGCAGTAGTGTACTCATTACAGTTGAAGCTAATTTAAAATGTACGTTAATAACTTATGACACGTTCCTTAAAACGTTCTGGATACGTTCGCAGCTGGGTTTTCGTAAAGTTTTAATCGGCGCATGGTATCGTCCGCCAAACATAAACCCCAGCGAAATTCATGATACCATGTAGAGTTGTCTGGGGCACTTAGCGGAAGCTTACGCAAACGACGACATAATATTAGCAGGCGACTTCAATTTTAGGTGTAGGCTGGGCAACGCTTTGTCCCTCATTTCAGTGAGCAAACCGGAGTCATTGCAATGATTTTGTTGCATTGTCTGACGGCTCCAGGCTGCCTGACTTAGTAACCATCCCTACCCAAGAAAATGCGGGTTTAGACTTTTTTTTTTGTTAACAACCCTGACCAAGTAACCACTATAAATGTCCTAGATTTCATCAGTGTTCATGCAACTATTCACGTCGAAACTTCCTTTACCTCCGGAAACCGAGCAACAATCGCAAGACAATATTTACCTATGCTCCGACAAATATGGAAGCTATGTATATCTCTCTAAATGTATTTTAGAAGAATTTTGGCCCATTATAAAGATTGCTTCGTTGAAGAAAATTGGACTTCCTTTAAACACAAAATTCAAAATTTGGTGCCAAACAACCTTCCTAAAATCAATAACGCATCCCACTATCTTTCACCCTAGTTCACAAATTCCCTCAAACGTATGTTGAAGAAAAAAAAAAGAGGTTGTTCTAGAAAGCAAAAAAAAAAAAAAAGAATTAACAGAGACGATGATTGGCTCGCACGTAGTCTTTGGTCAAAAAATAAAAGAAAGGAAATTATAAAAACAAGAAAACAGTTCTTTTTAGACAAACTGACACATCTGTTAAGAAGCTATCCTCGTAAGGTCTGGAAAATCTAAAATCCTAGTGAAACTCGCAGTGATTGTTTGTTCACGAACCAAGAGGGAGACTGCCTGTCCGATAGCGATGCGGGTCACATGCTCAATAGCTTTTTCTCGACGGTATTAACTCAAGAATCATTCCCACTTCCTTCGGCACCAGAGTTTCAATTTGCTCCCATGTCCCCCATTTAATTCACAAGTAACGGTATCGCCAAACTTATTGATAAACTCCCGTCCCACTGCGCCGCCGGCGATGATTCCATGAATGCCATGTACTAAAAGTGTTAAACCACTCCGCCTCTGGTTTTTTTATCTCTAATATTTCAGCCGAGTTTTGATACCGACACTGTTCCAGCTGACTGGGGTTTTGCTAACGTCAAACCAATCTTCAAATCTGACATAAAGTACGACCCTTTTAATTATCGGCCTATCTCTTCACTAGCGCTTCAGGCAAGGTAATGGAATACGTCATTTTTACAGCTATTATCCCCATCTCGACGGCAATGACTTTATTTTTCTGAATCAGCACGGCTTCAGACAAAACGACTCATGTAACACCCAAATATTTGAGTTGATCACGGATTTGCACTTTAACACTAATCCCCTTCGTGTTCCCTTTCGTGGCCTACTTTTACAATTGTCCCATCTTCAAATAGACCCATCTATCGTGGAATGGATTGCAGCGTTTTCGCATGGTAGAACCCAATCAGTAAAGTTAAACGATATATCCTTTCGTCAAAACTTCCCGTGACATCAGGGGCCCTAAACTCGTCAAACACAAAGTTCGGGCTGAAGTTGACGGAGGCGCCGATTGGACTATACCAGCGATGACTTCGCGCTTTTTCCGCCGGCGTCCACTCAGCGCGCTCCGCGAACTTTTGGCTCCAACTTTGTGTTCGACGAGTTTAGGGCCCCAGGCGTTCCTCAGGGTAGCGTAATTGGTCCCCTCTTGTTTCTAATTTATATCAATGATCTTCCATCCACCCCAACATCAACAATCAGGTTGTTTTCAGACTATTGTGTTTTTGTATCGAAAAATAACTAGTACAGATGATAGTCACGCTCTACAAATTGTCCTAGACAAAATTAGTAATTGGTGCTCATAATGGCAGCTTAACATTAACATAAAAAATTCCGGCTAATGAGAGTTACCAATAAAACTAATGTGATATTGACCCAGTACAGCCTCCTCCCTCTCGAACTAGAAGATGCCGAGTAGTATAAATACCTAGATGTCCATCTCACATCCAGCTTAACTTGGAACAAGCACATTGATCACATCATATTTAATGTTTCCAGAAAACCCTGTTTTCTAAGGCGTACGCTGTACCAGGCACCCCAAGAAACATGCCTGCTTTTCTATAAAACTATAATTCTACCAAAACTAGAATATGCAAATATAATCTGGAACCCGCAACAAATTTAAATTGTTAAAAATCTTGAAGCCTTGCAAAATAAAGCCGCCCGTTTTATTTCTGGAAAGTACTCTTATGAAACCAGTGCTACGAGTTTAAAACGAAGTTTGGGTCTTTCGTATATAGAGATAACAAGAAAAGTTTCACACTTCTGTTTGTTTCACCGAATTTGTTACTGTGACTTGACTCCACTTTCAGACAAATGTTCTCTCTGCCTGACACCAAAATTTCGGCACGATGTGATAACACCCAGAAAGTGAAACCCCTTGCAT